GGAGAGAAGCCGCCCTCCGAGCTGCTCTCAGTCTCCAGGCCCAGGAGGCCCAGAGGGAGGGCTCCCCTGAGGACCGGCTCCCCAGCCAGGATGCTCAGGAGGAAGACGGCTCCAGCGAGGCAGCGCTGTTGGAAGGAGGGAAAACCACCGAGGTGGGAAGTAGCCAGTTTCTAGGGATGCTGAACCCGCTTTTCCATCCTTCCCTCCCTTTCCTTCCCTGACACACACCCCTGTGACCCAACCACGCTTGCAGCTCCTTCCGGGGAGCCTGGGCATGGACCGGGGTTTGGCTGGAGGGAAGGTCTCGTCTTGCCCCAGGGATCTTCGTCCACCTGACAGGCCTGTTCCTTGCACCATCCTGTTCTGACCCTTTTCTAGGCGTGGAGTGGATGCCCATCCACACCCGGGCGCACGTGGGCACACTGATCGGCTATGTCTACAGCCTGGGTCAGTTCCTCCTGGCTGGCGTGGCCTATGCCATGCCCCACTGGCGCCACCTGCAGCTAGCGGTGTCTTTGCCATTCTTCATCTTCTTCATCTATTCCTGGTGCGTGGGACCCCGGGGGGACCCCAGGGGGGCGGGGGGGAGGGAACGACAGATGGTTGCAAAGGACAGGACATCCCCCAGCCTGCACCACACACCCAACCCCAGAGAATCAGAGGGAGTCAGAGTCAGACAGTCAAGATCACACCCAGGCTGATGCCATGGTGTGACAGAGGGAGAGATAGCACCCCACACACTCCCCCCAGGGGTGTCCTGTTCTCTCCACAGACTCCCCCCAGTTCCCCAGTCTGCCTGGGCAGCTCCCCTTACCCAGCACCCAAGCTTGAGTGAGTCCTCACCCACCTGGGTACTCACTCCCCTGTGACCCTCAAGAGGGGCAGTTGACACACCCCTGGGCTCCTACCCTTAAAGAAAACCCCATTACAGTCCCCTGGAACACCCAACCCTGTCACCGTCCCCAGCCCAGCAGATTGGCACGGAGGCCGTGCCAACGCCCACCCTCTGCCTGCTCTCAGGTTCTTCATTGAGTCTGCCCGCTGGTACTCCTCCTCTGGGAAGCTGGACCTCACCCTGAATGCCCTGCAGAAAGTGGCCCGAATCAACGGGAAGCAGGAAGAGGGGGCCAAGCTGAACATAGAGGTGAGACCCTGAAACGTCTCATGATGCCCCAATAGGAGACACCTTTGCCCACCCCTGAACCCTGAACCCCGAGATGGAAGAGGCTTCCCTAGGCAGGGGTTGGGCCAGAAAGAACCTCTAGCACGTCCCCGGTTCTGAAACCTGCCTGTCCCCACAGGTGCTCCGGGCCAGTCTGCAGAAGGAACTGACCACGGGCAAAGGCCAGGCCTCGGCCCTGGAGCTCCTGCGCTGCCCCACCCTTCGTCGCCTCTTCCTCTGCCTCACCATGCTGTGGTAGGCCCAGACACACCAACTGATGGACACACAGACAGACCAAGAGGCCAAGGGCCAGGGGCAGGGGAACCGATGTAACAGGCGGAAGAGGCCAGATGGAGGGGGGAGACACCAACAGCCCTGCAGTGAGGGGCAGTAATGAGATGGACTGACACAGTGGCTCCAATAAGGGGCTTAAGTACAGCAGTGACCATGAGGTTGGGCCAGGACCCGGCTGGGTAACTCAGAGTGGCCAATTGACTCAACAGCACCCGACAATAACAGCTCCCCTCCCCAGGGAGAGCCCCGAAAAACCAGCCCCCTCCAGCGTTGCTCCATCCCAGGCCCCAAGTGGGGCCCCTCTCGCTCTCTCTCTCTCTCTCTCTCTCTCTCTCTATCACTCTCTCTCTCTCCTTACTAACCATGTTCCAATCTACAAACACCACAGCAAGGGTGGGGGGCCCCCAGAATCAGGAGACTCCAGCAAAGGGCAGCCTGGCTGGCCAAACATTTAGAAATGTTACTGACCTCAAGGTACAAGAAACGCAGGCACAGATGATTCGAAGCCAAAGCTCACCTTGGTGCCAGGCCGAGACAAGCCACAACCTTCCATTCCCCTTGCCACATCCCCCCCAATCCCCTTTGAAGCTCCCCTACTCCCATCACCGCAGCGATCCCCACCCCATGACATCTGGACTCTTGGCTTCAAATTTGGAGAAAGTCACCCTTACTGGTGGGTTCCATGCAGTGCCCTAAACTCCGTTTTGCAGGCCTGGGTCAGTTTCATGGGTGCAACACTCACCCCAAGACCCTGGACCAGTCCGCCTCTCTGGACCCAGCATCACTCGATAAGATAAACACGCCCATCCTACATCACAATCAAGTGCAAATTTCCTGAGGCATCAGGAACACTAATTATTGGAAGACTGGGGCTGTTGGGGGATGGGAGGACTATGCCAATGCTTCAGGGGGGCCCTAGCAGTCTGAAGGGATAT